TGTATCGTGACGTTTCACAGATTGGTATATATACTATTCTCTGTTTCCAGAAATTTCCACAGGAATCACTGGCTAACGTAGTGCGAAACGTATTCGATTTCGATCGATACAGTCAAGAGGTTTTCGATACTTTAGTGTCCGTTCTTCACAAACATGGGATTCCTATTGGGACGAGTCCCACTAATGTCGCGTTAGCGAGAGAGTAAGGCAATTATTTGTAAAGAAACTTTATTCAGACAAATACGACAAATTTCCCAGTCTTAAACAAGCGTTCGTCCGGTCTTAACCGATCAATGTTCCTTCTACAAACAAAACAATAGCCATTAATTTATAACAAATAAACAACGAGAAGATCATATAGTGATTTTTAGCGATAAAGTGTAATAACTAAGGTAGAGTCAAAAATTGATAGAATAATGTATACAAAAAATAAACGATAATTAAATGAATGTAAATATACCTTTGTCATCTTCTAAAAAGTTAATATTACAGATGCTTCATTAAGTTTGGGTAAATTCGTCTTTTTTATTATATCCACAACCTCTGCCACTAATTGTTAAGCAAATTTCGCTTCGTGTCAATAAACGCGCAGTTAATTTGTATACGTGTTTTATTTTATTTTCAAATAACAAATTAATATTAAAAAGATTGTAAACCGTGAGAAACGTACAAGGTTTAATGCGGTTCTTCTCCTTTGCAGAATATCTTTGCCAACAGAGAAGGTGTGCGCTCTTTGGAATATTTCGAACGAGCGAACAGTGTTGCACGTTCAAGAAAGATATATCAAGTTAAAGTCGCCTACGAGTTTGAAGCAAAACGTTTTGCCTTTAGATCGCGTCGAAGCTAGATCAGCATTATTCACCGAATTGCAAAATTACTGGAACGTGCCAGTCGATGAAAACGGCGTGGTCGCATCTTTGACAGTTGCCAAAGGCGCGAACGCCAATGGTACCGATGACAGCATTCACATTCTTACGACCAATCCGTTAAAAATCTATACCATGAGTCTGAATTCAGACACGATTCGGGAAACTGTGATACACGGCTTGGTGAATCCTGAAAGAGGTAGCAGACCCATGTTCGCAATATCGACCGATAATAATCAGAATGTCTTGGTGCACGAAGAAACTGTAAGTGGTTTTTATGCGATACTAGCTTTTTCTTTTTTTACATGTGCCAGTACATTGGAATATGTATTTTCAGAGTAACGTTTTGCTACTGGTCGATGTTAACAACAAATCTGCTCGACAAATGCAGTTGTCATCCTTCTTCGATATAGCGTCGGATAAACTATCGAACGCCTTTAGAAATAGAAGCCTTCTCTGGAAGATGAAGACCGATCTGACGCTATCTCACAATCAAATCGTTTTCTACACGTTCGATTCCGATAAAATAGAAGTGATCGACTTACATTCCTCGTGTGCTTACACGATTACTTTACCGTTCGACGTGGAGTCAGTTTTGCTTCCGTCCGAGAAAAAATGGCTGATTCAAGATACGTCGAGAAAGAAGTACATTCTCACGAAATCCTCAGAATCGTCCCCGTGTCCAAACGTTTTACAAGCTGTGCGAGAATCTAACGATAGTCACTTGAAATCCGGTTCATTTCTGAGTTGCAGCAAGAATGATTTGAGCGCCAGCGTGCTCGGCGCCGCTCTAGAACAAAAGATCGATTCGCCGAACAGACTTGTAGTGACAGACAATACCTACGCCAGTATCGCCGTTGGATTTCCTGATTTAGATAGCACCAATGAATTGCATATTTGGCCTAGGACACAGCGAAGCAGAAGTTTTACCCCGCCTATAGTTACGGAGGGTGGACAAGTTATTAGAACGATTGTACCGGAAGAAGTGCCGGATGGTGTTTTTCCCAATGATGCGAGACATTTGGGAGTCGCTGGTTATTTGGAAATCGTTGACACCGTGAACCATAAGTTGCGTTTCATACCGATACCTGAGTGAGTATTTGTGTGACCTCTTGAATATTTAACAATTGCTCTGGCTTTGAACTTTTTTAACCTTCGATGACTATTCATCAGGATTCCCAGCTTTATTATTTTATTACTGACTTCGGTTGGTTGAAGACTCAACGTGATGCTTTATGCTTCAGTTTTTCTTTTTCGGAGGATTTAGTTTGCCCTAAAAATATCTTTCGCGACTTACGTTTATTTGTTTTGTCTGCCAGTGTTTATGTAGACAAACAATATTATTTCTTACAAGTTGATATTAATTTTTTCAGTCATTGTCTAACTATCGCGGAGAACATTCACGCTATTTCGTACGCCTTTAGAGGTGGAAAGCACATTACCAAACATTAAGGGCCGAATATTAAGTGTTTATTTTGTTTTTATCGAGAACAATTTTGCTACCTTTTATTTTTATATTTAAAAATATTTCAAGCACATTTTAAAGAACATTCGGTAATTTTTTCAATTCTCTTTTAAAAATTAATCTCGAAAATCACTTAACATTTGGCCTTCTAATGTTAATGTCAAAGTTTCCTTCCAAAAGTGTCGATATATCTTTGTTTACATTATCGTGGGACGTTTTAGACCAGTCAAAGTATCACCCGTGACACAATGGTTGTACGCAACCGGTTATCCTTTGTACGCTGCGCCAACATCGGCGCAGGATCTGGTAACGGTAGACTCGGCAGGATGTGTTCGACTGTGGGAAACGTCTTTGGCGAATATCGAAAGATCTTTGGGAGCCTGGAGAAGTATGGTAGGAGGCGACAACGAAAGATTGCAAATTACGAAGGAGAGGTATTCCGGATTGGACGTTAGTGGACCTAAACGTGGAAAAATTGACGAGAAGAACGAACCTCATGTCGGAGGAAACACGTGGGCAGGAGGAACCGGAGGTATGGCGCACCGGTACTTGTGTTATGAATTTTTGCCAAGACTGACGCGTTCAATGGAAATTTCAGGAAGGGATACAGCGGGTCTTGGTGGAAAGGGTGGACCTTATCGTTTGGATGCGGGCCACACAGTGCATCAACTCAGCGACGAAGAAAAGAATACTGTTCCGGAACACATAAAAAAAGCGGCGAGGGAAATGGGTCTCAAAGCGTTTAAGCAGCGCTTGAACGATATTAGTATGAGCGAATACGACCATACACTCTATTCTCAATTCAGTAATCCTGTTCAAAAGCAAGTTCAGGCATTGAGGAATATAATAGGTACTCTTTTTTATGCACTACTTTTGTTCCATCCTTTTTAAATACAATGTATACTGTTAAAAATGTGAGGATTGGCAAATCAAATGTGTTTGTTAGTCGTTGTGATATATAATACTTTGGTGGCATCAAAATGAAGCGAAGTGAATAGATTTTAAGATGAGTAGGAATAAAGCTTGCAGTATTAAACTCGATGACATTGGATATAGTAAAAAGAATGTCATTTGTATTAATTACGTTGATGACTTTCCTCCAACCGTTTGCGATCATCTTCAAAACTATCGATCTAGGATTATCTAGTGATTTCTCGCACTGCTTCGCGAAGAATAATCATTGGAAGGATGCTTTCAGTACTATAATAATAATTTCTAATAAAAGATCGCATAATTTTCACAGGTAGTCTACAAGCTAAGAGTAAAGAACGCGAATGGTGTAGACATCAAACATCCGGCGAGTTGGACGATACGAAATTAATCGAGGGATTAACAGGTGAAAGGACGATTTATCGAAGAAGGGCAGAGAAAGAACCCGAGCTGGGTACTCCGCCGTCAAAGCCGAAGCGATTGAAATTAGTGGTGGACGTATCTGGTAGCATGTATAGGTTTAATGGATACGATGGACGTCTCGATCGTGAAATGGAGGCTTGCGTTATGGTAATGGAAGCGTTTAGCGGGTACGAAGGAAAGTTTCAGTACGACATCGTTGGTCACTCTGGCGATGACTATCATATTGGTTTCGTTAAACATACTCAACCGCCGACGGATAATAAGCGCAGATTGGAAGTAATAAAGGTAACGAGAATTAAAGGGCTATGATAATTTAACGGACAAAAAATTGAGCAATCTTTGGAATTTTTTGTACGAAAACCTATGCTACGGATTGTTTGAAAACGTTGTGTGAATATTAAGTAATACTAGAACAGTCAGACGAATTTTTTTTCAAGTAACAATAACGTTTCGTTGTCGAGTTATACCGGGACTACGAGAGATCGTTGAAAAATTTGTTGTCCATGGTTGTCATGATGCAGAAAATTGTAATTCTTTATAAAAATCTTGTAAAATCTTATGAAAGTGTTAAAAAAGTAACAAAATGGCAGCATTTCGAATTGAAATTTCGATTTCAGACAATGCACGCGCACTCACAGTATTGCATGTCTGGTGATCATACATTGGAGGCGACTCACAATGCAATCTCGAGTCTCGCTAAAGAGGATTCCGACGAGTCCATCGTTGTTGTATTGTCGGATGCAAATCTGGAACGTTACGGAATTCGTCCTGAACGGTTTGCAAAGGTTCTCATGTCAAACCCGGACGTTAACGCTTTCGCCATATTTATTGGATCCTTGGGGGATGAAGCAGTTCGGTAAGTACGAATTATGGAAAATGGCGAGGCGGGTGGGTTTGTTTGAAAAGTGAACATTGTATATGAACATTGTATATGAACACTGTATATGAACACTGTATATTGAATTTGTAGATTGACCAAGAAGATGCCCTCAGGTAGGGCGTTTGTTTGCATGGACCTTAAGGATATACCTCGAATCTTGCAACAAATATTTGCTGCTTCTTTGCTAAGTACTACGCGATCTAATTGAAATATGCCGGTAAATTTCTACAATTTTTGTAATTACTTGTAATGGTTATCAAGGAAATAGTGTATTATAATTTATGCCTAATTAATAAATACCTACGACATATGAAGATTGTAAATGATGTAAATATAAAAATATTTTTAATTTGATCGATATGTGTATTGTATTGTGACTAATATTCTACAATTATTTTTGTTATTATGTTACAATTACTTAGCTGTCCAACTTTTACTTCACGCTACAATTATTTAATAGTAATGGTTCGGTAGTATTTATTTCTTATATGGATTTTTAAATGAAAAAATTCCACTTCATTTATAACAGCTTTATTTATTTAATACAGTGTGCCCTTTTCTACTAAATAACTTTTATGAAAACATTTGTTTGACAGCTTTATCCTCTCATGAGACATAAATCGTTACGCTCTAAAGGAAACGCCTATTTTGCATCATAAAAATGGTGAAATATTTCATCCGTATTTTGGCTATCCGTCGTCAATCATACGGATGCATAACTTGAAATTCATGACGTGTACGTGCAGACTGATCAACAGGTTTCCATTCAAACTTTGCTAGCACATTCTATGACAAAAAATAAATCGAAAATGTTATACGCTTCCTTGATCAATCTTCAACTTTCTATTTTCAGACGATGAATGTATTTAAATAATTTATTTGTTGTAGAAACGACAATCATGTGATTTCAAAGTTTACTAAAAATAGAGTAGCATCGTGAAAATCATGCTCCTGACACTGTTTAAGACCATCCCTTATTGGTTTCTACATAATATATCGAAGGAAAGCTATTCAATCTCGGTGATCCTTGCAGGTTCAGTTCAAACGATTTCATTTCATAGCGATTCAAAGCTCGAAACGTTTAAAACGGCGATGGATGTAAACAGCTGTTCGGTATAGATGGTTCAAAATAGTTATCCTTTGCAGTCAACGGTTTCAATTTCGAAAAATTCTAACGTAAACAATTATTAGTCGACACTCGAGTCGCGAAAGCTCAGTGGTGACCGGGAGTCGCCTTTCGAGTGCAAAGGGTTAATGCCGACCACTATATCACGACGGGAAGAATCTAGGCACGGTTCGCGCATCTCGTGGACTCGTCGTACCGTGACGGGGAACCGAAAAGCTCAGGAGGGTGACGGAGCGAGCCGAAGTTGGCCGAATCCCGCCGAGGTGCATCGAAAGCTTCGAGTGGTGTGGGGCGTGCATTTGTTAGTCGCACGCCGGTCGTTGAATGGAGCGGGTGTGGAGACGCGTACAAAGCGCCGGACGTCGCGGTGCAGCAGCTCGATGTGGTTGCCCCGTGCAGCCGTGTCAGCTGCACGTGGACCAACGCGCGAAACGCGGGGGCGGCGGTCGGAAATCTCGCAGCGGACCGCAAACGATCGTGTGCGGTTGTCAGGTCCAGCCGTGCCCGGTGCATCCAGTGCTGATTAGGGTTCGTCGTGCTCGACCCGCGGTTGGCAACTGCGACTGTCCACCCGAATCGCAGCCCTGTCCTCACGCATCGTCGCGTGCATCGGCTGGACGCAGGCTCCGAAGGTAAATAAACGTTTTCTTCCTGGATCCTTCGACGGATATCGAACAGCGAGAGTCGATGTATTCTTATCCGTGTAAACGTTTCCAGTCACCTGTGGAGATAAACAGCTGTTCATTTGTCACTGATAGAACACTCGCGAATGAATGTCAATGATGGACTAATAATTTGTAAATACAGAATGGTGGTCGAAGGGTGAGATAAACTGTCACATCGTTGAATTTATTCGGTGTTAGTCGATTAAAGGTTTATGTGTGCTTCGAAGGCACAGTGGGATGTCCTTTGGCTCCACAGCGGGGGTTGTTCAACTTTCCTAACTCGCGGCTCAGTTTACTGGGGGAGTCTTGATACTTTTGGACTCGCAGGGTTATTTCGAGGGAAAGGAATTTGGGGCAAATTCTATTTCAGAATAATTAAAGTAACAAAAAATTAGGAACAGTTTGGTCAGAGAGTATAAGTGCCGTTAAGATAAATTGAGATAATTTTGGATCTTTATGGGAAAAAGGGTTGCTTGGACCATTACGATGAACACCCTATAAGGTCTACCGGAAAATTCTGTCCGTTCCGGTTGTAACAAGTTTCAACAAGTATGCGCATATTCGTTAAAAATGATATACAAGTTGAAATCACGCTGGCAACATGTCATAAATAATGATAACAAGAACATTATTCAATAAAATTTATTCTAGGTATGGAAAATTTATTATTTCGTTTTATTCTAAAAAAGAAAAAAAAATACATGTCGAATTGAGTAACCTTCTCCTTCTCGAAGTCGGTTAAAAAGCGGACAGAACTTTCTGGTAGACCTAATTGTATTCAAAGATCTCTACAAATCCTCAACATTATATCAATAATCTACACACCTCTTTCATTTCACACGTACGAAGCTTACGAAAGTTTTTTCTCTAATCTAACACGTGTTATCTAACCGACACTATCTTCCCTCCCTCGATTCTGAATTAAAAACATGAACTCTCGTTTCTGGATGCAAGTTTTAGGGACACGATGTTAGTTTCTTAATGAAAAGTCCTGTCACCTATTCCTGGTTGACGACCCTTTCGACCCTGGCGGGACATATACATCCCAGTGAATGTTCCTGATGTTTTTACCCAAATTACAAATGTTTCTCATAGAAACACATATGAAAGAAATGAAAATCATTTTCTCTTCTTGTTCAACTACAACCTTTGATATATAACCAACCCTGATTTAATCTACGCATAATCCAATTAATTTCCAAAAGAGGAACTAACAGAATACAAACAGAAAAAATGGGGTTGAAAGGGTGGCGAAATAAAATGCTAGTAGAGGCTTGTTTGGAAATTGAAAATCCCGTCAGAGACGAAGAATTCTCATCGGAACCGTTGGCAAACATTCGTGGCACATCGTGGTTGGGGTTCACGGCCCAATTTGTGGTGTACCACGACACAGTGGTTAAGAATCACTGCCCTAAAGCTACGGGTCGCGGTCCTTTCTCTTCTCTCACGCTGTTCTTTCCCTCGCCGCGTCGCGACGTGCGCTGTTCCACGCGACAGCGTACGCACACGTTGTGATCCATTGCGAGCCAAAGGGGTGGAAGGCACGAAGGTCAAAGTAACGACGTGTTGATCGTATTTACGAGGCTGCGAGCGAAAGCACAGGTCCGGTGCAACCACGGTTTAACCTGCCTCCCTTTTCCTACGGCGAGGTTAACGTGTGCACTTAACGATAGTAGAAGGCTGTCGAGGGGATTGTGTGCGTTGCATGTTGCGCGCAAACGAGTGGTTCGGAGTGGTCGAAACACTTTCGCGTAATGAAATCACGCGAGATGAGTAGCACGGGTTTATCGGTTGATGAGCCAGCTCCGAGATGAAAGAGGGAAACCCTTGTTTTGTATTGCAGGTGAATGTTCTACAGGTAGTTTAGCGAGTGCGCAGTGCCAAAAGCGAGTATTGGCACAGAACTACTTTTGGATAGAAAGCTTGGCTGTGAAATATGGCGAGCATTTGGTTGTTTTGGTTATAACTCTTTCTTGGCGATTCGGCGAGAAAATAATCTATCTTCGAGAAAGAAGTTTAATATCTTTCACGATTAATGCATTGAAAGTAACGAATTGGTGTCGGTTTCATAGTAGTATAACCTTTCTATTTTATATTTAACCCTAAGTTTCAAATTTCATACCGGACTTTTAAATCGAATTGTACACTTGCAATTGGTTTGCTTTTAATGTCCGGCTGTATGTTACCATTGGATAATGTTCTTTTGGACAAAAGTTAAAATAATAAACGTCAGCTGACAAAATTGTTGAAATAATAAATACATTAATATTTTTTTAAATTTGTTGGACAAAAGATTAAACAAAAGATTGAGCTCTGTGTTCAAAAATCAATAGGTCTTTATCTATGTTCAGATCTGTGTATATCTTCCACGAAAACGTATCGTAGCCTTGTTTCTATTGTTTATATCTAGTTAATTTTCACCAGTTCTTTTTGTTTATATTTTTCATTCATAATTATATAAAGATCGTTCTCTTTAGTTTTCACAATTAAATAAATTGAAGAATTATAGTATTCAGTGAGTATTCATTCGATTCCATACTCCATTAAAATTTAATTAGAAAAATCAGGCTTTTAAGAGTTAACTATAGTAAACAAAAATAAATATGATGCGCATTGAGATAACAGCATGGATGATAATTTACTACTGAAGTAGTCGATAAATAAACTGACTTGACTTGATCTAAACATCTGAAATTTCTTTTGAATTTTTACAAGTCTAAATAACAATTTATGTATATTATTAGTTCTGAGAATTAGATGCGTTTCAAGATATTCGACCAATAACTCCATTTATTATGTTTATCTTTTTTAAGTATATTTTAATAACAAGGTTATATTCCAGCGGAATCCAAATGTTTGCAGTTATTTATTTTATTTGCACAATAGTTGTAGATGTTCTCTCTGCACACTGCGAAGTGGAGCTGAAGTTAATCTTATACGCTAAGAAATTTTCCTTGTCTATTGAGCGTACATCTTCGTTCTGAATCCACAAGTGCACGGGGAATACTTTGTTTGCTTAGCCGTAATAAGGTTTATCCATGCCAATATTCAAGCGTTTAATGTGCAGTTGTTCCTCCGGAGATAGAACGCTACGAAAGGGTTGAATTATATAATAAGTTATGCTACTGGAATCAATTAGAGGATTCTGTACCTGAGCAATTAATCAGAATTTACCTTCTGTCTAGGAGGAAAGTATTAAACTACATAGTATAATTTGTGAATTTACATTATTTAGAGAGCGAAATATAAAATACCACCCTAATACGTACATTCATTCGTTCTAATTATTGCAGCTAATACGTTTAAAATCAATATGTAACTTTTACAGCGAACGTGTAACTTAATGATCAATCAGTTATTTACCAAAGAAAATCCACGTAATTTATATTTTTCACAGAAAATAAATAATTTCTTTCTTTTTTCGTTTCTCCCTTAATCTTTTGTTCGCTATTGCACATAGGGTATATCGTAACACGGTGTGACCCATTTTAGCAGTAAACTGGGGACACAAAGTTACAGCCATTTTTGCACTGTACCTTCCAGCAACAGTTTCCTACGATAACATGGAGTACAGCTGAGTTTATAGGTTAAATCGACCCGACGAATTTCTGAACTTGGAAACTAACACCAAGAGCTAAGCGCGCAATTTTGGAGACGTATTGGAGAATATATTAGGATTAAGATGACCTTAGACCTCACTACAGTTGCTAAGTACCCGATAAGAACTCAATGACCCATTTTTCATACTAATTCAAACTTTCAAAGAGACGAATAATATCTTCGATGTACAACTGCCACTGGAAACTAATTTATTTATAAAACGCAGTTATTCGTGACTAGACGGCGGATCTTTATGCAAAATAAGATCTTTGCCTTTTTATTTTACCTTGGAAATATTATAATATGTACTCTACTTTCAATATTCTTTTATTAACTTCACTTTATATGTACTTATTACACGTGAGGAATCACCTCCCTACTACTGTGAACTACTATATAGTTCACTATATAGAACTATATAGAACCACTATATAGTTCACAGTACTACTACTATATAGAGTAACTTTCACGAATAAAAAACGTTCAAAGATCTTGATATTTAAATCAAATAAACTCGTATTCTGTATTTAAAATAGAAACAACCTATGAAGAAATGATAAAAAAAATTTAAAAATACATCACGTGGTATGAAGCTGTTTTGAAATGTTTTCCGCAGTTCGAATATTAAATAAATATCATTTAAATATTTCTCATATTACTGTTATAGCGTTTCAAATTATTTTCACAAATGTTGTATTTCCAAAATATATAGTACTTTTCGTTACATCTGTATATTTTGAAGTTTAACGAAGTTTTATTTGGAGTTTTTAAATATTTGAATATCGAATACAAAATTCTTTGCTTTCAATATTATGATTTGAAACCTTTTTTTGAGTTTTATGTTCTGAGATCCACGCCGTGAAGTTAACCCTTTGCACTCGAGGCCTTTTTTCTGGTATCCATCAGTAACTCGAGATGCTTTCTTAGCATTCTATTGTCACGAATGCTAAGCTTAGATTGACTTCGAAAATGAGATCCTTAATTTGAGATTTGAGAATTAGGTCACCGTTGCCTCAACGACAATCACGTTATTGACGTTTCGAGTTCCAAAGAAATTAAACCTAAAGGAAACCTAGCGGTGACTGAGAGTCACCTCTCAAGTCCAAAGAGTTAAAATCGATCACGCGTACAGTTTTTGTTACGTCTTGAGAGTACGAACGTGTGCACTAAATATTCAAAATGTGCTGTCAAAAAAATATTTCTTTTTCAAATCGCAAATCTAGAAGTTCTGTGGATTTGCCCATGTCTAACCTACCAAACTCATCCTTTGGCCGATCGCACACGGCGCAACCGATTCGAAATTAATGTTGCAAACCGTTTGCGCTCTTTATTTTACCTACTCCACTATTTTTGGTTTACCTAGATCCACAGTCGCATGCAACTACATAGTTTCAGAGTGGTTTGAAACTGATCGGTTGCGCCCGTGTGCGATCGGTCTAAGGCCGAACATCACCCCTGATGTTTCCCACCCAAGTTTTCAATCCGCCACCTCAATCAACAATCTGTCTTCGATGTTCGCAGATGCGAGTGTTCGGACCGACCATGTCGTCACGCGGCGTACAACGGTGGCACGCGTCGTCGAGTGCCGCTGCACCCTTCCTCGCCAACCTTCTCCCAAGCAAGCCAGTCTAATCAACAGCAACAGCAGTCGTGCGAATGCCCCGAAAGAATAAACTGCACCCACACGGTGGCTGGCGGCGGCGGCGAGGCTCCGTGCGAGTGCGAGTGCAGCGAGGACGTGAAACCGTGCTCGCACACCATCAAGCAACGTCGATCGCGTCGCACGTGCGACTGCAGCGGTAGCGGCTCGCAACCGTGCAGCCATAAACCCCAGCACGAGGGGCGAATAAAGCGCGTCAAGTGCCGTGTAAGGCGCGCCGGTTGCGCCATGGCCAGGTGCACCGCGGAACTCGCGATGCTGCACCTGCATTGGGGCCTCGCCACCGAATGCGCGCCCTGCAGACCGCGTGCACTAACCCGACGACTCTGTCGGAGGCAGCAAAGCGACAACGAGCTTTACAGGAGTAACAGCTTCAAGTTCGAGCGGTTCGAGAGAACCAAGGACGAGTGCGCCACACCGCTACACAAACAGGTAAGTTACCTTCGAAACGAGGAGTTGGATGCTTTTCAGTTTTGAGAACTATCGGTTTTGGCGAAGATGATTCTTTGTAGAGTACGAAATGAAGCGAGATGTGTGGCGGAGTACGTGCTTAAGAGGAATATGTTGGAATAAAAGCGATAGTGGGATCAGATTTATACGTATAAGTCCATAAATGTTCGTACCTTCTATGTTTATTAACGAAATCTGTCTGAATTAAATGATACGTTTGATATTTTTAAATAAATATTTCATTATAAATGCAATCATGTGTAAAGTTTATTCATGTACACATGATGAAACATTTATTTGAAAATATCAAACGTATCATTTAATTGAGGCAGGTTTCTTTAGTGGACATAAAAGGTAAGAATATTTATGGGACTGATTGTACAGGGTGTCCGAGAATTAGTTTAAGAACCGGAAATGGGGGGTAGCTGAGACGATTCTGAACCATAATTTCTTTTGCATAAATGTCGGATGGTGCTTCGTTTTTAAATTATTAACAGAGCACCATCTGACATTTTTGCAAAGGAAATTGTGGTTCAGGGATGATTTATCAGGGATGATTCTATGTATGTGATCAGCGAAGATATGTTAAAGAAACTTCCCTTAAAATTGACCTTGACCTTTGAGTATGAAGGAAATGAAGGAAAATATTCCTCGAGAAAAGAAAGAAAAAAGGTTTGGAAAAAGTGATCGCGTTAAAATTAGTAACAATGTTTGCACGCATCTATGTCATTATTGGTCAGACGTTAGGAGTCTTTGTCCATTAAAGTAGCTCCATTAAATGAAGACTGAGGTCAGTTCACGTGCGCCAAGGCTCTGCAGCAGGCAGTAGAGCGACAACGAGTTCTACTTTGGGAACAGCTTTAAGTTTGAGGGCTTTGAGAGAAGCAGAGTCGAGTATGGTGTTCCACTCAGCATCTAGTCGAGTCCTCACGGTGAACGCGTCACTGCCACTGGCGTATATCCTTTTTTTCTCCCGCATTTCTCTGTACTTTGGTTATTACCATAAAGGGGGAAGAAACGGTAAAAAAATGATTTTCTACTCTTTAGTGAATTTTACAAATGAAATAACTTCTTTTATGTATATATTATTAATTTTTCAACACTCGGGATCGGGCAAGCACACACTATTATTATTGATTCAATTTTTGGTTGTTACCATAAGGAGAGAAGAAACGCTGAAATAATGATTTTCCTACTCTTTAGTAAATTTTATAAATGAAATAATTTCTTTTAAAGCGTATCTTTTATCCATGCACTATTAATTTTTCAACACTCGGGATCAGGCCAGCGTACAGTACCATTATTGATTTAATTTTTGACTCATTCTGGCAGGAAGAATTCATCCGGATCGTATCAGAAATTTTCGCTCGTCGAATATCGCAGTTATATACCTGCAACTGTTTTCTTTTGTCCTGGTTTTCTCCATCTGAGGATTTCCTTGCTTCCATTGCATTTCTTATATCCGACGATATTGAAACGAAACGCGAATTATGTTTTCGTTTCGCATCGACAGGATATTGAAACAATTTGTTCGCTGGAGGGTTTCTCGTGCGCGAGGTGGGCGAGAGTATCCCATATTAGGGAAACTATTTTTTTTTTTTTTCTTATTGCGGGAAACGTGTCTAGCGACGACCGCGACGAAGATTGCACCTGCGACGGTATATCAGATAAGACGGTCCCAGAGATTCATCCTCTGAAAAGGGAATTTAAATTGAAGCAAGATGGAGTTACAGCAACTTTGTGAATACGAAACAGTCGAGGCATGCCGCCTTTGTGATATTCGCTCACCGACGAACTTTCTTAAATGGATTTCACGGAATAGTGATATGACGATGCCGAAATTTCCTGCGAGTCGAGGAATGTAGGTTATGTGGGAATATTCGGTTGGGATTAAGAATATGGGGATGGAGATGATTTTTTTTATCGTATATAGCCCCCCTCCACACCCAGGAGTCGGTGCAAAAAACACTTTTTGGGAGTTAAGGGTCAAGACGACCGCCACTGTAACAACTAGGTCAATCACTATCTACGGTAAAAAAAAACCAGCTCGATCGGAGGATACTCAATTTTCTTAAATCGTTTTTATTGGGATCGATCATCAATAATAAGATGATCTCTGATGAATTCTGCACGAAATATCAACACAAATATTTTAATACGTAATGATTTAAAAGAACTTTTTGTGAAACTCAGATTTGAATACATACCGAAGAGGATTTCAGTAGTATAAGTGATTTTAGTCAGACTTGAAGTATTGTGTAACTCATGCATCTGACAGTGAGTTGAAATAACATTGAAATCTGTTATAGATTTCTGAGATCTAGAGATCTGTTACAGATTTGAGTACATACCGAAGAGGATTACCAGTAGTATGAATGAATTTAGTCAGACATGAGGTATTGTGTAACTCATACACACATGCATCTGACAGTGAGTTGAAATAACATTGAAATCTGTTACAGGTTTCGTCAGAAAAATGTTTATTAAAAACGAAAAACTAAACAAAAAATAAAAAAGCGAACAAATCGAACTCGGAGAATCGTGCGAACATGGCAACAACCAACGGTACCGTGAATTAAAAAACATATGAACGCAGAACTGCATTCACCAACCGTTGCTATGGAATAATACATCGCACGTGTCTCATCTGTTTGTGTAACGTTTTATACACAGTACTGTGTGAAAGACTTCGTATGTATTACTATACATCGTTTTTCGTTACGCAAATGCATTCATAAATACAGCACTGTACAAGGATATTTCACATTTTGATCACCCTGTGAATAGGAAGAAATTCAAACGTTTTTTGCACAGACGAAGGTATCGATGTTTGAAAAATTGCTTAACAGCCATGGAGCCTAGCGCGCACACTAATGCGATTGGCGTTTGCGATACCGGTGAACGGAGAAAGAAAGTAACAGAAGGGTTGACCAATTATTGGAGAACTTCTTTTTTTCCGTGTATTATATGCGCCACGTTTTCGATGTTTTCCATTGGATGGGCGTGTCTCTCGCTCTCAACATCGGCTTTGCAACGATTATTATTCATGTCGATATCAGCATTATCGAGTTACAGGTTGTCACTTAAACGTACCCCAATAAAGAGGACAGTGACAGAGGAGGAAATAATTTACGTCTGTCAATTACAATAAATAATCACGTTCATTTTCATTATCTTAAATGAACAATCACGTGGTGGCCATTATTTCGTTGTTATTTCTTTTTTACAACCCTCCTTCAAATTGTGAAAAGCAATCGTAATGATATAGAGTTGTAAAATGAATAAAATAAAAAAAAATATATAATTAAATTATGTATCTAATAAATAATTGTTGACGTAGAATAAAACTTCTATCTTCTGTGATTCGAAGTGCAAGGTTACTCTTAGAAATATTTATGCAATGGTGTGACAACGTTCAAAGATTCCTTCGAAGCGAAAATTCAAAGGAACAGGAGAAATAGTAGGAAACATTGTATCCCATGCCATTCTACGATCGTTTTGTCAAGAGAACGTTTGGATCCATTGAGTAGTCACCTTACGGAACATACAGAGGACACTTACTTACGGAGCATTTGCATTTGACTCGGACTCTGCGAGGATGACACCCACTACATATCACGAGAAAGCTTTCCGACCAATTTCACGGTGTACCTACGTGCAGAGTCGGTCTGTGCGTGTTAACGCATACCTACAACGGAATTTTCGTTCCTTTTGGACAGATACTCGAGTATGAAGAACGTTTAACGAGATGATACGGTGCCAACTCACGCTGCTAATTATCCGTGTACCCGGTATTCCTGCCAGCGAAAGTATTCTTTTCACGAACCTTTTGATTATATCCAGCAAAATATACGTGACGTTTTTTTAGACGCGCTAAGGAGCAGTAAGAGTATCGCAAAAAGCAAGTTCTGATAGTTTGAAAAGAAAATTGTTAATTGTAGACAAAGTGTCACAGAGAAAGTATTCTTGGAAAAATAAACATCGTGTTTCGTGTTTTTAGCCATTGAGCATTTGTATACTTATATAGCTATGCATTTATATATTTATGTATGTCTACATATATTTATCGTAATATTTATAATAATTTACTTAAATGAATCAATGTTTTCTTCTTTGCTGAAGAATATCGAATTAGTGAGTGGATGAAAGTTTTATTATATTTTGAGCAATACAAACAGAAATATATTAGTACGAGAAGATTAAGCTCGCGTAAGAAATATAATATATTATATTTATCAAAGGCCTCCGAAACTTCTCCTACGTGGAACGAGTAAATTCTAAAAACTCATTTCATTTTAGAAAGCGTCGAATGGTATCGCAACAATTCTGTGCCGTGTCGTTAACACTTACATAACAAATGTCGGATAATACAACGAATTCATTTACCGCGGAGAGCGCTTCGCGTTGGTAAAGTAAACCCGCGTTGCTTTGTTGTTTGAAACGTTCACTTTTACAAGTAAACGAATCTTTTCACGGTGGCATCGTAATGGAGGCGTGTTGGCTGAAAAGGAACCAGCAAAGCCAAAGAAATCGGCCATACTGAATCGTGGTCTACACGTTTGCTCATTTAGGAAACTTAATTATTCTTGGTATGGTAGTGTCGACGCTGGATACAAGCTGCGGCGAAGAGAATGTTCCTCTTATTCGCCGCATACTAGCATAATGCCATAACATTGTTTCGACTCATTTCTCACTGCGCGGAGATTGAAATAAATCCTGGAGTTACGTAATTGTCGCATATTAAATAGGTACTATGAATAATACGAATGCCAGTGTAATGTATACGCTATTAAGTACAGCTAATAACAAAAATAGAGTATGAAACTAGTTTGGATTCGTAGGTTTATAATTTAATTGTTTAAAAGCGAGTCGCTATTGTTGTCGCTAATGCAATCATCTGTTCGCCAAAAAGCGATACTATTAAATTGTCGAGAGCTTTCCACGGATTTCTCCGCAATCGTAGAGAACCGAAAAAGGGGACG